TAAAATGAAGAGGTCATTAGTATGCGGCTAAAAAATACTAACAGGCCATAAATTTATTCCTAGCCGGCCTTACAAGAAATTAACGCGTGTTAAAAACCATACATTAATATCAATAAGCTGCATGTGTTCCCTTTCCGAAGTTGCGTGGAGATGTGGGCAAGAACTTAGGTGGCCGACCGACCGCACAATTAAGTGGGTAGAGCACCAAATACAAATATGATGTTAGGATATAAAGCAATATGAAACCCCATGTCTTTCACATGCGTTGGTAAAAATTTAAAATATATTTATCATATATTTAACTCTACTGATGCCCCCTTTTTCATTCATTTTTCAAATTTTCGCTCAAATATCAAAGTTCGTGATAACCCAAATCCTTATTTTTTATTTTTTATCAAATTCTCAATAGTTTGATCATGGCAGATATACATATACATTAGTTTGATAGTTTAAGGAAATCATATGAGTGGTTAATTTATAAATATCAAAATTTCGGGTGATTTGTATGCATTTATCTCTAAAATAACTCTTCTGGTATCCACAATGTTTTCTAATTTTTTTAGGAGATAATTACATGCAAAGTCAATTTTTTGGTCCATTAAATTGGTGTATTTACATGTTTCATTTGAGAAATGATAGAAATGAATATTATGAATTTGAATTTTATCATGAATTTTGTTATTTGAGTGAGAATCTGAACAAAAAATAAAACTTAAAAAGAGTCTAGTTTTGTAAATAATAAAGTTTCATCTGCTATATATGTAATTGCTGTTTTTTTTTGCATTTTTTTTTTGCTTCATTGAATTTTTTCTTTGAAGTCGTTGCACTTTTATCAAATAATCAATCTGAAAACTAAATAATTTTTATGGCAGGAATTTGGGACTTAATTTTATTTTAACATTTACATGGAATTTTTATATAATTACATATCTCATTTTAAATATTTATATTTAATAAGGGGCAAGCAAGACGAACGAGGGCTGCGAGACTATTGGTGTAAGAAATGGCAGTAGATATGTTGACCAATTCAAATACTATCAACAAGTTCTTGCATTGCTTGAAGTTGTTGAATGTTTGCAATTGTTGACCGACATGGTTGCCCAACCCACTTTGGTATAAGAAACTCTATGATGTTATGTATTTCTCCTAATGGGTTGGATATTTGCCAAGGTAGATATTTGTTGAGTATATGTATTTCTCTAAATGGGTTGGATATTCACCAAGGTGGAGATTTGTTAGATATGACTCATATATCATAAATGTGACATATACTGGAGCATAGTCGAGCCCACGAGCGGAGTGGAGCGGAAGGATCTGTCTAATCGGGGGAGTTTCATTATAAGGTTTAGGGGTGCAGGGGGCAACACCCCGCGGTTTGATACAGAGGTAATTTAAGTATTTACATATGTTATTATAAGATTATATATATGTCATGTTTGTAACAATATGTGATTTTTAGATTATGCATATTGTATTCTATACTCTTGTCTGAATATTGAAAAGGAAGTCGCTGCATTTTTATTTTTTAGTTTATATTTCCTATCTAATGGCATACAACATTAAATCATTGAATTTTGTATATGTACAAAATCATACAAAATTGAATGATTTAATGTTGCATGTCATTAGATAAGAAATGTAAACTAAAAAATAAAATGCAGCAAAACATGACAATAAATTTTTTAACTTGTCGTCAATAATTGTAAGAGTCTTCTATTACAGAATTAATGCATGGTCCCCTTCAACGAGACAATAAGCGATTAACATAAGCAAATAAATTTGTCACTTAAAACATTTTCAGAGGAAAAAAAAAAAGACTTGTGAAAAATAAAATTGGAGATAGTTTTAAACGGAAAATAAGTTGAATGGTTCAAATTAATGGCTTTATCTTTGCTTATTTAGATATGGATCGAAGCCATATTTTTGCATATTTTAGTTGTTTCTGCGTGAGCAATGAGCAAAACTTTTGTGTCTTATTACCCTGCCTGAAGGTTATCCGACTCTTTTATATTTAATTAAAACAATTATTTAGCTTTTAAAATTAAAATATTCTATTTTCAATCTTTTGTTTGATTTTAATATCCATTGAACAAAAAAATAAAAAATAAAACAAAATAAAAAAATTTGAATAGTATTATGATTAGAAAATTAAATTAAGCATATGATATATTTGCTTTATGTTAATTTCTAAATTTTAATTTTAAAGAGATTGTGAGGGGATAAAAAAAAATTTAATTTTAAATATAACTTTAAGTTTTAGTATTTTAGACCAAAGGTTAATTTTTGGCTTGCTCTGAACTATGGGTGCGTTTGGGGAAGCTTGTGAGTTTCAAGATAAGCAGCTTATCTTGAAACGCGGCCCGCGCATTGACCGTGAGATTCAACCCGCGGTCTGCGTTAAGGGTAAAAAAGGAACCGCATTTTCGGATAAAAGGACAAAACGCGCAATCCAAACATTACCGCAGCGTTTTTAAAAATGCTCCCACACTTATAAACTACCCAAACGGGTCCTATATCGAGGAGTAAATTAAACCGATTAAACTTAATTATATTTCGTTATCATATAAATAAATTTGATTTAATTTTTTTTTTCTTGATTGATGAGTTTTGAGGACTGCAGATTTCGGCAAATGTTAGGGACCCATTAAAATCGCATCAAAAATCAACAAATAAAATATGCGCGGCTCGAGTATATCGATAATGACTGTGTCAGACAATTTTATATGATTATTTATTCGTAATTAAATGATCAATCGATACCCTCAAAATATGCACATCACTTCTAATAATTGTAAAATAAAAATTACCATATATAATTGTAAAATTGCATATTACCATGCTGCAAATATATATATATTTTTTCAATTTTTCATAAGTTAGTTTAGAATTTTAATCATATATTATTTCAATTTTTCATAAGTTAGTTTAGAATTTTAATCTGCTATGACAAGCGGCCACACAACACTTTAGTTGAAAACCCACAAAATTTACAGAAACTCCTAAAGAAAACAAATCATTAATTAGCCTAATTACAAACTTATGTGCTCCATCATCAACAGAAAAGCCTAAGAAATAAAAATTTTATAAGAAAAAAGCTCTAAAATGGATGTTGAGCACGGCTGATCCCATTCACTCTGGCGAAGAAACCCATTATCTCGGGTTTGTACGGCAAATACGATTTCCGGCCGGCGGCTCCGCCGCCCCTCGCCGTCGATCGGTTACCGCTCGAGCCGTAGAACACACGATGAGCAGTTATCAAATCCAACTCTGCCGCCTTCTTCTCCTGCCCCTTCCTCTTCCCTTCATCCGTTGCAACTTCCTTCTTGATCGAACTCTTCTCCTCCGCCGCAATGAACATGAACTTCTCCTTCCCATCGCTATGGCTCCGACCGACCACAAAATCCCTAATCCGCCTCCGGCGCGATGATCCCGTCGACGAGCTCTTCCGTACCATTCCAGGCGATTTCGGCGAACCCGGCTTCCAGACGCAGTAGCTACCGGGCGGGATTCCTTCAAGATCGTGCCCTAAAGGCGAATCAGAATGGGAAATCGATACCTCGCGATCCTCGATTAGGAGCTGGAACAGGGGCTGCCGACATAATTTCTCCTCGTCGCAGGTGAGGAGGAGATCGCGGTTGAAGACGGGATAGATGGGGCGGATCTGGCCGTCGGAGAAAATTTCGTCGGCGGTGATTAGCGGGTGGGTTTCTTGGTTCCCTACCGCGAATGCGAACTCGAAATCATCGTCTTCGTCGACGTTGTCTGGGGGCGCAGAGGTGGTACTCGGCTGCGCGGCTGAGATCTGCTGGGGGGAATCGACGGAGGAGAACACGGCGTGCTCCGGCGATTTGTCTTTTACCTCGTCGCTCATTGTTAACTTTAATCTCTGTTATCTGGATATGGATCTCTGGAATTTGGTTCGGGGAAGACGGCGTTAATAAAGGGAGGTGGGGGGTGAGTTACGTGAGGCTTCACGTGTGGGCGGCGTTCTGGTTGCTTCTCAAGCGGTGGGAGTGGAAAAATTATTCGTGCTTATATGTCTAATGTCTAAAACTTTATATTTATATCTATCACATAAATTTTTACATCTAAAAAAGACATGATATTTTTTTTTAAAATAATAATAGTAATGAGAGTATTTTTTTATGTAATATTAAATTTGTGTGAAAATATATAAGTTTGTGTCTAAAATTGATACGCCACCAATAAATTTTCATCATCCATCAAGAATTTCGAGACATTTTTTTAAGTAAGAAACATTCAAACTTCAATTAAGAGTCATCCAAAGCTTCAATTTTAGTAAACTTATAGTCAAACTGACCGGCTCGATGAGACCGACCCAATGATATAAAAACTAGTTTAATCCGAGTCAGATCAAGCCTAGATCAAATCATTAAACCACTTTTGAAGGATTTTCGGACACATTTGGAAGGTCAATGGATGTCGAATCTTGCGATTTCATGGTCGAATCAGGCGTCTTGACAAGAAGAATCCAACGAGACAATTATTGATTAATTCTGACATCGTTAAGACATTTCAATGTCCATCAAAAACCTTTTGATCGATGAAAGCTCTTTGGACCGTCCGATCAAAATGGTTCATATTTCTGCATTAATTGCACCCAAAATAATATAAAGAGAGTAGCGACCGTCTCATGCGAGAGGGGGGAAGGGGGGAAGGTTGGAGAGAGAACTTGAGGTTTTGAGAAGGAGCTTTGAGAAGGAGCGCAAGTCCCACATCATTTTTGTGATCGTCGATCGTCGTCAGTCGTCGTCGACCATCACAGACCGTCGGCGACCACCGCCAATCTCCGTCGATCACCGCCGACAGTCGTCGATCCCCGCCAACCATCGTCAATCACCACCAACCAGACGCTGATAGTCAACGTTGTAATCTGAAAACTATAGTTACATTTTCCCATCTGTGGGACCGGGGATTTCTGTAATCATCAAATAATAGTGGATCTGCACAACTTGGCCAGTCCCCGTGGCTTTTCTCTTTACGGGTTTTCCACGTAAAATTTTTGGAGTTGTTTCTATTATTTCTCTTTCATCTGTGCGCGTGTGTTAAATTCTCGTACAATGCTAAGACAATAATATGTTACTTTACCGCAGCGGATTTTCTAGCCCACATAAAAAATCTAAGTGTTGTGTGGTATGTATGCAAATGCCCTTATTTATTAATATTAAATAGAAATAAACACTTTTTAGCCCTTAATTTTATAAATTAATCTATTTCATTATATTTGTTAATATATTACCACCCCTAAGTGATGTTAATCTACAAAACTTAACAGCCAAGAAAATTATTTTATTGACTGCTTTTAGAAATTATAAATAAATTTGAACATTAAAAGGAATTTCATTTTATTCTATATGTAAATCAAAAATATTACAAAGATTTTAAATGAAAATTTTATAGTAAAGATAAAGAGTGAATCAAGTCAAACTAAGCGTTCGTTTGGGGTAACTTATAAGTGCGGGTGGCGTTTTCAAAACGCTTGAAAACGCCTCTGTACCGTTTGGTTTGCGCGTTTCGTCAGCTTATCCGAAACTGTGTTTGGGTTTTTACACTAAATGCAGGCCACAGGTCAACCACTGCGGCCAGCTCGCAGGCCGCTCGCAGGCCGCATTTGAGGATAAGCAGTTTATCCTGAAACGCACAAGCTGCCCTCGCAGGCCGCATTTGAGGAAAAATAACTTATCCTGAAACACACAAGCTGCCTCAAATGGACCCTAAGTATTTTACTATTTATGTTCATTCATTTGTTTTCCAAGAAAACTCACCTTAGTAATTCAAGATCCACTCCTAGGATCTGACGATATACAGTAGAGAATTTATAGAAGTATTCCTTAAGTGATTCTCCCCATTGTGAGAAATTCTTGAAAGATGAGACAAATTCTTAATGATATTTTTATTTGCTATGAATTATTTGACAAATAACGTGCATGTTTGTTGAAGTTGTGAATAGTACCACATAACATAGAAGAAACTATCGCATTCAATAATAGAGAACAACTCCAACTACTCAAGCATCAAAACCTTCAAAGCATTCATCTAGGTGACAATCAACATGTATTTATCTTGAGCTTGATTAGTTGTTTCAATTGTGCCTAATGGGCATACCATGTATTCATTCATTAGATTAATATAGTGTCCCATGTAATGGGCAAAAAATTATGTAAATGATACGCCACCAACCAGTTATCATAATCCAGCACGAATCTTGATGCATGACACGAATCTTGATGCAATATTTTGAGCACGAACATTCAAACTTCGATTACGAGTCATCCGGAACTCCGATTTCAGCAAACTTATAGTCAAAACTGATATGCTCGATGAAACGAACATAATGATATAAAAGTTAGTCCAATCCGAGTCAAATCAAGCCCATATCAAGTCATTAAACCACTACTGGAGGATTTCTGGAGGCATTTGAAAGGTCAAAAGGATGTCGAATCTATCGAGTTTATAGCCGAATTGAGCGTCTCGAAAATACGAATCCAACGAGCCCAAGGTTGCTCAATTCCAATATCATTAAGGCACTCAAATGTCCATCAAACGTCATATGATCCAGGAAAGCTCTTCGGGCCGTCCGATCAAAATGATTCATATTCCTGCATTAATTGCACTATAAACACTATAAATAGAGCCCACCCCTCACATGAGGGGGAGGGGAGACTTAAGAGAGAACTTGAGGCTTTAAGAAGGAGTTCAAGTCCACGATCATCATTGTCATCGTCGATCGCCGTCGACCACCACTGACCGTCGACAACGACCGCAGACCGACCTTTGTCAACCACCGCCAACCACCGTTAAACGCCGCCAATCACCGTTGACTTCCGCCAACCACGGCTTACTAGACGTCATCAGTCGACGTTGTAACGCAAAAAGCGAGTAACCCTTTTTCACTTTTCCCGCCTGTGGGACAAGGGACATCTGTAATCACCCTTTTTCCGCCTGTGGGACAAGGGACATCTGTAATCATCAACTTATAGTGGATTTTTACAACTGGGTCATGCCCCGTGGTTTTTCCCTTTTTATGGGTTTTCCACGTAAAAACTTCTGGTGTTATTACAGCTTGATATCTGAGTGTGTGCAGAATCCTCGTGCAACGCTAAGACGATAATCAATTACTTTACCGTCACGAATTTTCTAACACGCATCAGTAAATATTACGATAAGGGGCCATTTTAATCTGAGATAAGCTACAATGTTTTAAAATTTTTAATTTAGGGAAATAAAAATCCTATTTTGCATGCCCTCTCTCTCTCTCACATGTGCACACACATAATTTCCTCTTCTTTCTCTTTCTTTAGTAATTAGGGGTTTGCTGAGATCTTTCATGTCATATTAAATAATTAGTTGGTGCACTAATAAATATACAAATTTGTAGTGATATGTCACTAAATATCATTTTATAATTTAATATTTTTTTAATAAAAAATAAGACAGAAGAAGCAAGCATTAAATAGATATCATATCTAATCAATTTTCTTATGTGAAAAAAGAAAATAACAATAACACATCCTAATGACCCTCCTAATATCTTTTTAAACTCTATGAAATATATAGAAAAAAAAAATTAAATTTTTTGTTATAGCAATTGCTGAGAAATTAGAGTAAAGAAAAATATGAATCAACACAAATCTAGAAGAACAAAAAAATTCAATGAGGTTCGGCAAAGATGTCTACGTTCTCGGGAGCAGAGCGACGACTTCCTTTCAACTTCAGAAAAAGAGTACATGATACATAATACAACATAGAATAGCCTAGGTTACAAACATGCATATATATAACCCTAAATAAAACCTTAAAGTGTAATATGTAATTCCCAAATTACCCATGTAATGTATCACGGGGCGTTTCCCCCACATAACGAAACTCTCCTGATTGGACAGATTCTTCTGCTTCACCCCGCTTCACTCCAGCATCTGTCTCCTATATGGTATATCAGCCATACCATAACATCAATTTTAAAAGAATAATTTTTTTTTTTGCATTCATATTAATTATTTAACATGCTTGCTCTATAAACACCATCAGCATTCAATCATGCCTTTGCTCAGTTCGACTTTTCTCTCTAGAAGAACAGCTGACTCTTGACTTAGCTTATATAATTGGAGTTGTTCAACCATGTCATCCTTTTATAATTTAATTTAATTTAAAAATAAAACAATGTATTTACGTCTTAGGATATGTAGAGAGAGAGAGAGTGAGAGAGAGAGAGAGAGAGAGTTGGGTAAGGCTGTAATAATCTATGCTTAACCTCCGATTGAAGGCAATGTGCTAACTTTTTTATAAGGACCAGTTTAAATTGTTTAGTTTTAATTTATAATTAGTGTAATAAAAATTTTAGTTAATTAGATATATTCGACTGATTCAACGGTGAGCCGGTCATTCAACAAATTCGATCCAAACTCAAATTATTTTAAACATAGAATCAAGATTGAATCGATCGGACTGGGATGGAACCGGCGAATTAGTGAACATGTTTGATTTTTAAAGAATGTGGCAGTTTGTATAATATTCAATTTTAATTTTTTTTTATTTTAATTTGATAACTAAAAATAATATAATTAAATTTAAAATAAAAAAAGGGGCCCATACCGCATAAGTGTGTGGGCGGTCGGAACGCGGTGATAGTAGAGCGAAAAAGAAAAAGGCCGAGCTTTTTGTAGGCCCATGGGGCGCTTTTTGCGTTTACTTTTAAAATTTTGTCTTATATATGCATCTTACATTAGTTATGTAAATGCACTTGTTCTTTGAAATTAAATAACAGCAAACCTATTTAGCCCTAAATTAATTTATAAATTAGTCTCTTTCATTATATTTTGTTAATATGTTATATGCTTTAAGTGATGTTAATCTAAAAAAACTCAACAGCCGATTTTTTTTTTTTACTTTTTTTAGAAATTATAAGTAAATTTCAAAACGGTAAGAAATTTCATTTTATTTTAGATATAAATAAAAAATAATTCAAAGATTGCAAATGAAAACCACCTATTTGAGAGGGAAAAAA